CCAGTGACATGCCCCACCCGGTACCGGGTTGTACACCGGCTATGTGGAGATTTCACCCACACGCGATCGCCCAATTCATACGGCGCTCGTTCGTTTATCCGTTCAGTTGAACGCGTTGCGTCAATGCCTCGTAGTCGGACTTTATACTGATAAATCATGTTGGCTGGCGCAGTTGAGGGCGATACATTATTGTCTCTCGGAGTAACATTGTACCAATACACCGCCTCCATTATGGAACACTGCTTCCTAGCAGCGATTCTTTTGATGCTCCGATGACATCGCTCGATTATATATTTCCCTGATGGGACATACGCGCAGCGAAATCTGATAATGTACTGATGTTGAGCCACAAAATCTTTTGAATAGTTCACTGCGGAATGCAAAGTCGTTGTCCCTGGATTTCCGTCGGAGGTCCACGTTCAAAGAACAATGACCCCAAGTGGTCAATGACGCTTGCGGAATCCTGTCGACGCAGACGCCGCCAAATAGTGAACCGGGTTGGGCCACAATCAAACAATAAAAAATAAAAAGATGTCCGTTATAATGGGTGATGTCCATTCCAACACGGTGCCACACCTTGCTTACAATCAACTTGTCCTTTTTGCCATTGCACAGGTGCTGGGTCGATGGACTGACACTCAAAGCATTCTTCATAGCTGACCACTGCCCTGACAGCAGGGATCAATCTCCTCACGAGATATAAGGTCCGTTTTACACCGGGATGTCCGCTTTGGCAATGCACAGATTTTGTTTGTAAATCTGAACATATAGTTGCTCGTTGATGTTACACAGACATCTTCTGATGGCTCTACCTCTTTTATTAATTTGCGTCAATGAAAAAATTTTTGGGGTAATTACTTGTTAAAACAGTCGGCCTTGTTCTGCTGTGATCTGACCAGGTGTATGTCTACGGATAAGTGTTCACTACAAGCTTTTAATAAGCTTTATCTTTTGGCTATTTCTCCCAGATCCTCTTCTGTCACTCCTTTGTTCAAACTCATTAAGTATGTCACGCGTTGCTTTCCCCAGTCCTTCTATCCGTCCTGTGAGTATCAGATTTTCCAGACCTTCATTTCTCATTATGTGTACCAGAAATTTCAGCTGCCTCTTCCTGATGTTAAGTATAAGTACCCTCTTTGTTACCACTCTCTCCAAAAACTCGTCGTTGCTTATATGTTCGGCCCATGGTATCCTTATGTTCCTTCTATAGAACCGCACTTCTGTTGTTTCGAGTTTTTCTTCATCTTTGAGGAGATTGTCCGGCATTGCTCGCCGTACAGGTGGACATATAAAACATAACAGTTAAGCACTTTTTTCTTTGATTCAAACGACATTTCTCTGTCTTGTAATACTCTGCTTAGCTTTTGGAATGCGTCTTTGGCCATCCAAATACGTCTTTGGATCTCAGTGTCCCACTTTACGTCCTCTGTCGAAACGTTTCCCAGATATTTAAATTTCTGCACCTACTTGATTTTAGTGTCCTCCACCTGTAAACTGAATTTAGGCTCATCTTTTGCTTATGACCATGCAGTCTGTCGTCTTGTAGTTTATGTTTAATCCTTTCTTCTCGCCCTCCTTCGCTACATTCTGTAGGAGGTTTTGTAGTTTTCTTTCTGTGTCTGATATCAGCACTGTCATCTGCATATCTTATGTTAAGATTGTGGCCTCCAGTGATGAATTCTAGTAGAATCTCCAGCTCTCTCAGAATTGCCTCGATGTGCACATTGAATAAGTCCAGTGAGCAGCTGTAAGAGATCAAGTAATAGGGACCCGTTCTGCAGCATTTGTACTGCTCTTTCTGATAACATTTATTAGCATAAATATTGTGTTCCTTGTTCCCGTGTCTTTAACAAAACGGCACTGTTTTTGTCCTATCTCTGGCATGATTCTGCTGCACGCTTTATTCATCAGAATACGGATAATGAGTTTTGTTTTGTGGCTCATTAGACTGATTGTTCATTGGAGTTCACATTCGTTTGCGCCTGGTTTCTTACGCAGTGCTATGAAAATAGATCTGATTATATGTTCCGGTATATCACCACTGTTTCATTTATTTCTGCAATCTTGTCTGTGCCGAAATCGTCTAAGTCTGCCAGCATTATTACAATTCCGTTGTTTCTGTTCAATTTCATTGCAGTTACCACATTCGTATTTTTTTCTAGTGTCAACCATCACATGTTAAGAAGGCAACATCCCTGGTGTTATCGATCTGGATCGTGGTCGATGCCAGCGTGCGACACCTTTGGAAATCGACAGGAAAACCAGCAGTCTGTTTTTCGCGAAACTCGCTTTGCTATCGTCGGGGATTTGAGACGATCCCATGCCGCAGTTTGTTATGAATTTTACGTACCGCCCACCGTGATATAGTTTTTGATTCGAGTTGCCTCAGTAGTAAATATTTTTTTCCTTCCGTCTAACTCCCTTCTGTTAAAACAAAATTGACATATTTGAAAGTTCATTGCATTGCTTTACACTGCGTAGATTTACATGCCTTTCTGAGTAATACCCTTTCCGACTAGTTATTCAGTCAGCTCTCTGAGTTTGAAAGATCCACAGAAGGGAGATGTCACAATTCAGCCGGAACGTCTTTTGATGGTCAGGAGGGTGGCTACGTCTTGCTAGACAGGTTAGCAATTTAAAGAATCAAGCAACGCTCTGTTAACAAATAAAACAATATTTATTGTAAAACGATTGTGAAACAATGCATAAAGAATAGAAAATGTTAATTTCTATAAGTTGGTTGCTGTAAGAAGTTCTGTAAGTAGGTTTTTAATATCGCTAAATGAAAGAGAAAAATGACATGCCGAGGAGAAGTTTTGTCGGCAATACAGACATAGCAATCACTATGTCATTAACACACTCTGTTGTTTTTTTTTTTTTTCCTAAGGATTTCACCCTTTAGCTGTATGGGAAAACACTGGCATGCAAGGGGTGACAGAGAGTTGGAGCTAGAGCAAATAGGAGAGATTAAGGAAAGGATGAAGAAAAGATAGGGATAGATCAAGGCATCTGGAGACGTCGATTCAAATTACCTTTTTGATAGATTATAGATATCAGGGAAACCGGAAAAGGGGAGGGAGTTCCACAGGTGAGAGGTGGGAGACATGAAGCAATTGGGGTAGAAGAGACGGCTACATTTAACAGTTTCGACAGTATGAGCGAGATGCCAGCCTAATAGAACGCTTAACTTCATGAAGTTTGTTAACCAGCGAAAGCAGATCCTCGTAACAGTTACCATGAAAGTATTTGTAAAAAAGACAGAGGGAGGCGGCGGCAGGTCTGTGAGAGAGCAGCTACAGACGAGAGGCCAGATCAGGGCCAATTACATTGCATATCCGTCTCTGGATCTTATCAAGAATCTTGAGACAAACACAAGGGGCACCAGACCATTTATGGCAGCAATACTCCATGCAAGAGCGAATGGTTGATTTGTAGATTTGAAGGATCGACTCCGGGGAGAAAAATTCCTGGCGTGGCACAAGCAGCTAACTTTCCTTGCGGTTGACGAAGCTATTGAGTCAATGTGTAGTAGTTTTAGAGTTTTGCATTTTCTTCAATAAGCCGGGTCTTCACAATGTTTTCTACAGGCTGGAGAGAATCTGGTGACGGAGGGGGAAGAAAAGCTTCTTGATTTTCGTCTCCGATCTACTTGTTCTATAGAACTCAGTGCTGCAGCCTTTATGGACGAAATTTTCAGACGAATAAAGGCTTTTCATTGTTGATTAAATTGCAAAAACATAATTCGGCTTATGATTTATGGAAGTAGGAGGGAAAACCACTTTTAAATGCCTAATTCGGCACTACTTTTATTCATAACATTCTTATTGGCCAAGCAGTGGTTACTTAGATCCGAAGAGGATGAACCAAAAATAACCTATTTGACTGCACCTGGCATTTGAGTTTTAAATCTGAAGGCATCCAGGATACTGTAAATAGGTCATATGAATCTTATGCTGTGAATCGTGATAGATTTTTGACTCATTGCCTCGCCACTTTCAATACAGCGTGTCCATAAGGTTCGTGTGCACTTTAAAAAATTATAACTTTATTTGTCTTTGCGATAGAAATAATTTTTAAAAAGGATTAGAAAGAAGTAAAATTTTAAGGTTTTATTGAAATTTTATTTAAGTTTCCACATGTCCTCCATCATTAGCAATACAAAGGGTAATACGATTTTGCAGTTCACGGAAAACATTTGCCAACTGATTTACAGTAATGCCTGAAATCACATTAGTTATTTTAGCTATACTTAATACTAGGTACATTAAACTTTATAACATTTTTTTTACAGATTATTTCTATAGCAAATACAAATAAAGTTATATTTTATAATGTGCACACGGACTTTATGGACACCTTGTATTTGATAAGTTTCAATATGGAGACCGATTATGGAAGCAAAAAATAAGCAAAAGATGTCACAAATTTTGACATACACAAACATATTAAACCCCAGGGACGTTTAGAATAAAAAAAAATCATAGGAATATGTTTTGTTTTTAACGAAATCATATTCTCGATAGAATTTTGTTAGAAAAAAAAAGATTTTCTTGATTTTTTTAAACGCTAATAAACAATTTCGTTTCGTTACAATTAGTCTGATCAGTGAATAACAGAATAAGGCCTTTCAAAAATAGAGGCTGTAATGCAGCAAGAAAAGATAGTATCCCACATATAATGAATGTAATGACGTATAGTTATAGCTGATCATGGTGCCGTCAATTTACTTCCAAGCACTCGTTAAGACAAAGAGGTTTAAGCTGAATAAAATTTACTTTCGCAAAGTAGAATTATAAAAGTTGTAAATTAAAGGCGATTTTAACAATAAATCAGATAATCATTAATCTGCATTTACAAGCAAAAAGCTCAAAAGCACAATTAATAATATAAATGATAATCTAAAACTCTACAATACGTGGACATCAATTTGGTTTTGTTTTGTTTTTATATTTTTCTTTTCTGTTACATTTAAGTGTCCATTTTTTCTCTTTGATGTAACTATGACCGCCACCTTTCTTTCTATGCCCTTCCTCTTTCAACACCTTCATTCCTTTTCACTTTTCTTTCCGTCTCTCGTTGCCTCAATCTTTCCTCGTATCTTTGTCTTGTATTTGCCTTTCTCCCTGTCTCTAATGCAAGTGCTTTTCCTCTACTCCTTTATTTTTCGGTTTCTGCTATTTCATTTCCCTATCTCTTCTCTATATAAACTTTTACTCTTCCTAATATTTTTGTTTCACTTTCGCTTTTACAATGATTTCCATCTTGGGAATATATCTCATTGTCTGTCTTTTATTCCTTCGTTGTCTCATTTTCTTTCTCTTTCACTATTTTCGTTTTTTTTCTCTTCTTCATCCCCCTAACTACCTTTAGTCTCGTTTTCTTTCTCTTTCACAATACTTTTCGTTTTTTATTCCCACTCTATCATTCTCTGTCTTCTTTCTATGCGTTAACTTCTGTTTCTTTTTATTCATTCACTTTTGCATGCGACTTTATTTCCATTGCTTCACTTTCTCCTCCTCCTCCTCCTCCTCCTCCTCCTCATTTCTATCGCCTTTTCTTTCTTTCGCGAAATGCGTCTATTCGATCATCATATACCACCAACCGAAACACGTAATTAAAAAAAAAAAACTCTCTTTCTTCAGCTGTTGGCTAATTGTCCGCCTCGTGGTACATCACATCGCACTTTGGTGAGAGAATAATTAACCAATGGATTTATGATGTAATATCATAATTATTCGATAATTCAGTTGAGGCAACTCTTAGCCATTATTCACGACTGGGTGGTCCATCCCCGAGGGCCTGATACCATTATGCCAAATTTGATTTGTACAAGTTATAGTGACGTGATTTAGAAGGTATGAAGGATATAATTTTTCAACAAACACGCATACACAAAAGTGTTTAACCATAGAAAATAATAACTCTGTTAAATATACATACATATATATATATATATATATATATATATATATATATATATATATATATATATATATATATATAAAAAATACATGGGATATATATATATAACAAAACATACATACATATATATATTTTTTCAAAAACATACATATATATATATATATATATATATATATATATATATATATATATATATATAAAACAAAACATATATATATATATAAAAACATACCTATATATATATATATATATATATATATATATATGCACATTTCAATATTTGTACCGAATTTTTTCGTAAGTTTATTGAATTAAAAACTTAGTGCCTTTGAAAGTATTTTTGGCCAAAGTAAGCAACGTTGGGCTTTTCAGAATTCCTTTTCCTCGGTGAATATATTTAGCGCATAACTTCTTTTTTGTCGCCTGTACCATACAAAAAAAAAAAAGAATTAAAATAATTTTTCTTGGAATCATTGACAATCTTGAAGGGACCCTATAATTTCATTGTCTATAATTTTAGCCCAAAATATTATTCCCTTTAATTATTTCTATATCCTGATGCTTTAATGTTTCCATCAATAACATGATGACTTGCCAAGCCATCATGTTCATCCAGTGTAGTTCTACATTCATCACTTAAAATTATAGCTGAGAAAATTTTTTCAAGTAGTTTCGGTAGTGTAATGAAAACTCGGAATCTACTTTGGCTTAATGTGCATTACTGAACATAACCGAGGAGTCTTGTCGTTTTGGCTAAGATGGTGTGATTATTTATACAAATCAGGGAGGACAGGGGAGGCAATCGAGTTGTCTTAACACATTCTCCCCAGTTTTGTTTTCTCCTAGTGCGACACAAAATCATTCAGGTGACTGGGTCTCTTGACAATTCTCTCGGATCGTCTCGGTGGCAGCTGAACTGGGCTTTCAGGTCTCGTAGGTATTATGAAAATAGTCGGCCAGAGCTATTTCGTCTCATATTATTTTTGTCTCCTCCTTGGAGAGGGATGCTCTGATTCTGAAAGCTGATTATCAGTCTGTGGTAGTATGCTCTTATTTTCAGTGAGCTGTGCTGGTGTGGATCAGTGTAGAGGCTTTGTTCCTCAGGAGAATTCAATGCCGTTGTATCGTCGTTAATATCAAGATGGAGAGATATTACGTCTTTCTAAGCCTCAAAAAAGAGAGGCCACTGTATTCTGCCCATTGGACAGAATCAAGAAGCTATCTCACTAAAGGAATGGGAAAGGTGAAAATATAGACGGAGATGGGGGAATAAAAGGTGTCCCAGTCAAGATAAAAAGGGGGCTAAAAAAACTGAGGGGGTTGGGAATCTCGACTTGAATCATAACCAAAGAGGCAGCCGGGACCAGGCCAGGAACAACACTTACTCACATTAACTAGGTACACAAAATCTTGTCTAACCTAAACAAGGGGAGGGCTCCGCAGGAAACCACCCCAAATATGACCTAGGCTAACCCCGTTCAAACGAACCAAGCTCGCCTCAGTCACCCACCTTTCGCTAACGGCTTTCGAATGCAATCATTTTCTATCAGTTCTGATCTTCATCTTGAGCTGATGCTCAAAGAATCTGATTAGATCCTAATGAGAAAGACGGATGTCTCGCAAGACTTCCTCCGCTCACGTCGTCTAAATCATCATTCAAGCCGTGGCCAGCAGCGTGAGAAACACCATTCTATCGGTGAGGACTACTTGCAGTATGATGTCTCCCGTTGCAATTCCTGATTTGCTTTTGGTTGCGCTGACCTCGTCAACTTACTCGAACTTGGCAAAGAAGGTTCCAATTCGGTGATCGGAAATGTTTACCGGAAACGCCATGTACCGTGATTTTGTCTTTCTTGTTGTCATGTACTCTGTCTGGAGTCACAAATAGTTGTAGATAGGATACTCCCTGCTAGCTGTTTCACTTCTTGCTCCGAGCTGAGAAGATCCCACATCGCATTACTTCTTCGAGCCAGAATTTTCGGCATAATTTCGAGGCTTTTTAATGCCTCCTCCATATTGTCTCTGCTGACTCCAATGAGTTTGTGTCTTTTTAAATCTGTGGCCAGCAAGGATATCACCTTAACATTGACAACTTCCAAGGTCTCCGGAATTGTAAGGAAATCGTTACTTTGTAAGTATTTCTCATACTTTTGCCGTTGTTCCTCATAATAAGCGATGTCCTTTTTCTTAGGCCCACTCTCAGACCAGACCTGTTTTTTTTGCTGGTGCCAAATTTTCGGTTAAAACCGAAAAAACATTCATAAGTTTTTTGGTGGCTGATAGCCACCACGGCTGAACAAATTAAACTTTACCTATATGTTATTTAAGAAATAAAAGGCATAAAATACACGAGAGAATTTGAAAGAACCAAATAAAAAACAAAAACGTGGAAAAATAAAGCCAATAAACACGTAAGAAATCAAACAAAGAAATACGAAAAAGGTAAATATAAACAGGGGGAGGATCAAAATACAAAAAGGAAATAAACAGAAAAGAAACAAAAAATGTATAAATAGTAATATGCACGAAAAACAAGCAAAAAGAAAAACTAAAAAATTGAAAACGGTTTCGAAAATCAAAAGTAACAAATTAAACTTATTAGTTCAAATACAGTGATTTTTCAAACTCAGTAAAACTGGTCGCCAATAGAGGTCTTACGTAACTGAAGAGTCTTTCCGTTTTGCCTAAGAAGGTGTGACTTATTTATACAAATCATAATACAGGGTAGGTAATCGTGTTGTCTTACCGAACACTTCTTCCTCTTTGTGCTATGTTCCTTCTGCTTCACTATTTTTAGGTTGCTAGAAAGAAAAGAAGAAAAAAGAAAGGCGAGAATTAAATTTAGGTGATAAGAAGCCATCACGAAAAGGACACTAAGCGATGTTATTTTTTTTAACAAAGAAAAATGCTAAAGGTTTTATTCTCATTAGCGAGGAAAGTAAGGTCGATACTGTTTCTGATTTAATTTTAATTTATGACGTCGCACCGAATAAGATATATCCAATCTGCCCATGGCAATGGTAAAAAATTTCAAGTTGTTTGACAAGCGACCTCCCGCAGAAACAGAAACTCTGGGAGATAAAATTAATTTTGGTCAAAAATGTCTGTTGGACCAAAACCAAAATGTCAGTTGAACCACCTCCATGTCATTTGGGAAAAAACGTTGTTTATTGTCAGGGCTGGCTATGATAGCAAAATTATTTTATCAGAACGAATAATTGGCACCAAGGTGCGATACGTCCAATTGACCACCCACTTGATAATTGGCGAAAATCTCATTGACGAATTCCATATAAAATTCGGTTGATAGTCTAAGGACTTGTGGTCGAGAAGAAGAAGAAGAAAGAGAAAGAAAAGAAAAAGAAAAAAAAAGAATAAAAAGGAAGATAAGATTTTTTTTTTTGAGCAAGATTTTTAAACCGAGGCTAGTCTAACCACACCCACACTGCTGAGCGCCCATTGGCTGAATGGTGGCGTGAGCGGTAGGCGAAGGTAATCATGTGAAGAAGGAGGAAGGCCTGTTGGTACCCCCTGAAGGGATCGGTGTGAGATGCCACTGTGAGAGAGAGGGGGAAACCCGTTGACACCCTCTGAGGGTATGGTGAGATACCAATATGAGAACAGAAGAAGGTGGGAGGACGAAAAAATCAAAAATGGAAAATAATAAATTTTCCTGACCGAAAATAAAGAAGTGGATTGTGGATTTAGAATTATCAAGGAACGTCAAACCCCGACAAGCCCACCCCGGTTTTGGTCGGTGTCCATATAAGCAGAGTCATAGAGAGTGAAAAGCAGTTCCAGTTGAGTTCCAGTTAAGTTGAAGTTGAGTTAAGTTCGAGTTCGTTCTGAGTTGAATTGAGTTGAAGAGTTGGGCCCGCCTCGCAGGAACCTGACTGAAAGATTCCACGCAATTCACGAACTCATCTTCTAACCAAGAACAATTTATTTTTTTTGAACGACTTAGACTCACACCACCAAAACAAGTTTTTACGAATATCGCCTGAAGATACACCAAAAACCAGTTTCTTAAAGAACAAACAACTTAAGATGTTAAAACTCGCCTAACAAACGCAAAGTGTCACGAATCCATATAGCGGGTTGGGAAGAAGCAGTCCTGTATTCAGAAACCAGATATAAAATATTGTTATCCTTTTTTAACACATTTGAACTTTTCGAGTTATTATTTTATTTTTTTTTTTTACATATACTTGTGCGATATCACCCTTGTTCGGACTCGACTTGCATTAAAGTCCGGCGACTGATAGATTTCGTCTACCTAAGATCAAATCACAACGTGGGTAGGTTAGACTAGAAATCAAAACAGTTACTTCGGTAACCAGACGTTGGAGGCGAGCTGGGAACGACAAGGCTGATACCGAATCTAACCAGATTCCCATCCGAATCAGCAAAAGGTTAGAACGTCACGTTTGGTGCCGCGACCAATACCAAGTCACATTGGTCGTCACGGGAGAGGATAGGACGGCGACTGCGCGGAGACAGACGGGGTGACGTCACAACTGGCGCCGCGACCGGGATAGCACGACGGACGCGGCCAGGCAGACGTCACGGTTGGCGCAGCGACACCGGGGGACGTCACACTTCAGGACGATGACAATAATGGATTTCCACAACTTCCTGACCTTTGTAGCTCTTATAAATTTTGTCTTAAGCCCTTTTCCGCCATCTTTTTACCAAGCTCGTTAGGTCAGTTACGCGTTGTTTGTTTCCGTCCCCCTTGCCTTTGAAATAAGAACTGTAAAAAATGTTCACAAAATTTCCAAAAAAGCTTTCTTCAGGATATGGTAGATGGATGTCGGCCAAAGAGTTTGTCTCTTCACAAAAGTTTTGTATCGAGAAACTTGGAGCATTAGCAGGTTAAGTATATCTATATCAGTTTTTTAGGAGTGATGAACTGTTTTTAGTCAAGTATAAGCAAGAATCCTTAAAATAATCGTTTTTGATTTATTGCCAGGCGTCAATAAACATTACGGGTCTGCAGATTCCAAGACGTTCTGGTTTAATGATCTTTCTTTCATAATTTCATTTTCAATAAATTATAAAAAAAAACTAGGATTCTAGTTCAAAATGTTTTTTTATATAAAACTGAAAAATACTTGTCCTTTTGTTTAGACAAAATTGAGTTATTTATAAAAATCATAAAACTCGAAAGATAATCGGATTGTCTTACCACAGGTAGTTTGCTTGCATTCCGTTCTTCCATTATTTAACTTCGTTTTGTCTTATTTTTAAATGTCTTTTGTTGGTTGTTCGATGACTTCTGTTGATTATTTTGGAACTCCCTGTGTTGTTTTTGCATTCATTTTCCCTTAGAGTTTATAATTTATTATTTTTGTTAACGACATAAGATAATCCGATGAATATTCCAAATATTCACCATGATTATGTGGAGAAAATGTGAACCCAGATCTACTAATTAATCGCCTAGACTTTGATCTGCGCAACTATAAGCACATAACTTCAACATTTCATACGGTATCCTAAATGAATCTATCAATTGTAAGCATCATCCCTGCTTCCTCTACCGATGCCAATGTATACAGAATGGGCGGGCGATGCCATTATATAGGCATTCATATTTGGGCCTAGATTAACCAAGAAAAAAGTACAACATTTTCTACCAAGTGTTCCAAGAAACAGGTATTAAGAAACCTTTCCAAAACTAAACTATGATCTGGAATTGAAATGAAACCGATGGCTCCAATCCTTAATATAACAACACTTCAGGATATGGAATTCGTAAATAATTCTTTTATGCGACGTTTCCCTTCATGCTATTGGGGATCATGGCCCTGCATAACATCCTATCCTGGGAAAATCACAGCAGCGTTTGTCTGTTCGCCAAAATTACCGCCCTCTCTCGTTCTATCATTCATTCATAGTATTTGACGTTTCTTCATAAAATTGTTATATTTGTATGGAACTTCAAAGCATATCATGAAGATATATTGTCGAAAATTATGAATCATTGAGAAAACATGTTGCTTTAATAAAATCATGCGCTTTTGTAAGTGTTTGAAAATATTAGAAAACTCGTGCTTAATGTATAGGCAGTATATAAAGGTGAAAAGAATAGGTATATAATAGTTTTTGCTCCATTTGTTTTGTAAAGAACCGTTTTGAGTACGTTTGAGTTTTTTTAGTTTTTCTTGCAGATAATATGTATGTTAGATGAATTTTACTATACTGAGAAGTTATAGATTATATATTTATTTGATGTTGTTGGATTGTAAAAAACGAAAGAAATCAATAAAAATATTACCCCTTTATAAAGATGTAGCCTATAATAAGAATTGCCAGTCAGAATACAAGGTTGACTTTTATTCACGCAGCATTTATTCCTAAATCTATCTATCTATCTATCTATCTATCTATCTATCTCCCCAAAATAAGCTCTCTCCGGGAAACATTTCTACCATTGATATATATATATATATATTTTTTCCTAATTCGAACAAAAAAATATATATATATATATATATATATATATATATATTAAATTTAAAAACAATGTCCTTAGTCTTCCACCTCTCTCTGAATCTCTAAAAATATATATGTATATATATATATATATATATATATATATATATATATATATATATAAATCCGCAATTTATATGGTCTTAAATAGGCGGGAAGCCACTAGGACGGAAGGTTATTTACAGAAAATTTAGAGCAAGATCAAATATAACAATAGAAGAAAAAAATGAGGAGAAATATAGTGGATAGATCAAGGCAAAATAAGATGTTCGATTGATTTTTCATTATCAAGTAATTTCTTGAATGGCTGGAGATTATAGCTCAAAACAAAAAAGAAACAGGAATAGGGAAGGGAGTTCCATGCAAGAGGTGCGAGACATGAAGATATTGAGTAGAAGAGACGGCTACATTTTTTTCAAAAACACTCTACAGTTTAATTGATGAAAACGAATGCCAGCCTCGTATGGCGGCTTGAACTCATGACGTTTGGGAACCAGCGAATGCAGCTCCACGGGGCAATTTCCATGAAATATTTGGAGAACTGACAGAGGGAGGCGACGGTGCGTCTGTGAGAAAGAAGACTGTAGACGAGACGCCAAATGAGGGCCAACTAAATTGAATATCCGCCTGTGGAGCCTATCAAGAATAAATTTTAAAAACATAAAAATTTTCCATATATTGCAGCAATAATGAGCAAGAATTTTGATTTGTAGATCTGGAAGGATCGACTTTAGGGAGAAAAACTTCCTGGCGCGGCTCATGTTAAAATGATCCTTGATTAAATAAATGGACGAAAAATGATGAAAAATAATTGACTCAATGTATTTGTTCCATCTCAGGTAAAGGTAAAAAGAAACATCACAGACCGAGAAAATGATAGAAAGAGAGGTGCTAGATTGAGAAGTTGAGCGTCAGACATTCTAATGGAGGGCAGGAAGGATCTCTGTGGTTCCCAGAGAGATAGATTGTCTTAGAAGCGTTGAAAAAACCAGCCAATTCTTTCGAGTTCAATAAAAATTGGAGGTCCTTTCTGAAACGCAAGTCCAGGTGAAAGAAAGAAAGTCAAGAAAGACTAGAAATTGTTTTTGAGGTAAGAAATAAATTGTCATCCGCGTAGATGCCAAAAAAAAAAAAAGAAAATTATGGCGATCAGATTAAAATTTATGTAGATAAAAAAAATAGAGTGGAGCCTATGATGGAGCCTCGAAGAACACCTGTTTTCGTGGGATAGGAATGAAATGAGAAAGGGACGAAATTCAATCATTATATCAATTCACGGTTTGACAAGAATGATTGTATTAGGTTATATATATAGACCCGTATATATATATATATATATATATATATATATATATATAATATATATATATATTAGCAGCAGGGCCCGAAGTTGTCCGTGATTGATTCAAAAATCGTAATTCATACAGCAATCAGACTATCTCTTGAAAAAAAAATATTTTTTGCCCTTCCTTGCCTTTTTAAAGGAGTAGCCTTTTGTCGATGATGGTGTTGCTACATGCCTTTATTCTTGCCTATATCTCACACAGCGATTTTTTTTTGTAACCTCTATACTAAAAATTAAATCTGTTACGAAAAAAAAAAAGAACTAAACAAAATGAGCACAAAAAAAGATCAGCTTTAAAAAAGGACTCGTAACTTTAAAAAACCGAATGAAAAAAAATATTAATAACAAATACTTTTCACACCCAACCCAGTTCTGCAAAGAATCAGAATCAACGTTGAGAATAAGTCTGTTACTTGAGCCAACTGGAATAAAGTGCCATGCAGATTTAAATTTTTTTCCACACTGCGAATGCAGCTATCGGTTTTTTTTTTAATGCATGCTAGCATGCTAGCTAACATTCGTGTCATCAGCTTTGGGTCTCACGGCTAAGGATAGAATCTTCCTGCCCATTAGTGGCAGCCATATTATACACATTTATTTTCTCACACTTGCCAGTAAATTTAAAATGGCTGTTCAAAGTTGACATTGAAAATTACCCTTTAATATATATATATATATATATATATATATATATATATATATATATATATATATATATATATTGAACAATAAAAAAATTAAAAAATATTAAAAATTAAAATCTTCAGACACACTGGGTTGTATATTAATATTCCTTCGTTTTTATTATTATTTCATTTAGATTCCTCGACTAGTTTCGGCTAACATGGCCATCATCAGGCGAAAAAAAAAATTCTGCTTGTTGGTAGCAGTGAACTACAGAAATGAATGTCTTGATGGAGAAAATGAACTTTTCTCTGTAGTTTTCATTTGTTTTTTATTTTATTAACATGAATTTTGGTCAGTCTATTTTAAGTTGTTATTTGAGATAACAGCTGGATGGATTCATGCTGCTCTGAATTCCCTTGGTCATTTTGACAGTTTGAATGGTTCCTTGAAAGTGGATGTGTCTCTGTTAAGTGTGTGTGTGTTATTTGATTCTTAGGGAGTGAGTGAGTATGATGTGTGTAAGCCTGTATATTACTATGGGTGTGTGTTGTCATTTGGTTCCTTAGTCAGTGAGTATGCTGTGTGTAAGTGTGTATATTCGTGTGGGTGTGTGTATAAGTGTGAGACCTCAACACCTCCGTAAGCATGTATGTCTTGTGTGGGTGAGAAATGTGGGTAGGTTTTGATTTTTAGGGTTATATATTAATACTATCGATATTGTTAAATTTATGGTTAAGCCCGGCTGGAGAGCGCGTTTATAATCGTTGTATCAACTTATTTTCATGGAACTCTAAAATCTTTCTAATGTTATCTGCTCTGAACTTTTCTATTCTCTCAATAATAGTGAATTTGGCAGAAATGTTTAAAATCGTTTTTTTCTAGGCGGAAATGTTGTAATAATCTATATATATATATATATATATATATATATATATATATATATATATATATATATATATAAATTATTTACTTTTATATAAGGAAAGAAAAACAAACTTACAATTACTAAAAAGAAGTGCAACGTTTGCATAAAAACAGCGGTGTAACAACAAAAATAAACTGAAAAAGATTAGTTCATTTCCACATGTAGGCACGGAAAGTAATTCATTATATGCTACCTACAATCACTTGACACGAGAGTCAATAAATCGTATAAGCTGAATGTAAAACTGCAAAATTAGAATTTAAAACATATATGCACAGATATAATGAAATAAATAAAATTAAGTTATAATAATAGAATAAGCAAACAAAAGCTGATAACTATAAAAATTGTAAAACCCTAAACACAAAATAAATAACTAAATGAATAAATAAAAATAAAAATGGGAGGGTCGACATCTCTTTCCCCCAACTTCACTTAATCCCCAGAGCACGTGTAAAGTGAAACATGTTCTGATAATGACTTGACGTATAGAAATGAGTCGTTATAAACTGTTCATTCCTATGTTACAATATTTATCTATACCTGCAATATAAGTATATCAGTGCTTGTGTATTTGCACGCGTGCCTGCTAAAACGTTCTTGCTCGATTCTCTTTGCTAAAATCTAAGAAAACCACTTGTTTGTCTTGAGCTCAATCACGCCACAGAAGAAATAGTCAAGGGGGTTGCCATCAGGTGAGGAGGGGGGCCACAAGTCCGGTCACCATTGGTGAGGAACATTGTTGAGCAGCCACACCTGGGTGGTCTTGGCCTTGTGTGCAGCGAGGAGGGCGTCATGCCTCCGTTCTTCTTTCATAAGGGCCTGAGAGTCACCCTTGAGATATACCCGGAGGTGCTGAGGAGCGTGGTGAAGACCTGCATAGACAAGATCCCCGCCTGGCTCCGTATGTCTTGCAGCAGGACTCCACTCCTGCACACAAACCAAGACGACCCAGGCATGGCTGATCAACAATATTCCTCACCACTGGTCGCTGGACTTGTGGCCGCCCTCCTCACCCGACTGTAACCTCCTTGACTATTTTTTTGTGAGCGTGATCGAGGCCTAGACCAACGAGCACGCCTGAAACACGGTCAACTCTTTGAAGGTTGCCATCATGGAGGCGTTCACCACTATAGACAAGGACATAGTCCCCAAAGCGTGTGACTCATTTCGCGCTCGCCTTGAGATGGTCGTCAATTGTCTGACTTTGCTGCAACACCATGTAATTGTGTTCCCCTATTTGGGTTTGCAATTATTGCGCATAAATTTGTATTTAATCAACCCCCATGAGGTCAGGTTGTGACACAAAGTCGGTTTAAATGGGGAGCCACACATACTTTTTTTTCTTTAAGGAAATAAAATTCCCCGAACCCTCGCAACCGTTGGTTTATCTGGCCTCGGTGCGCGCAACGATCATTCTCTCTATTGCAATGAGAATGCGCGGCCACGAGCAGCTGTTCCCTAGTGCCGGCATCTCTCAGTATGATTTTTCTCAGTTGCGACTATGCCCCTTGACAGAGTCGCCCCTTAGTGCCCTGTGCCCAAAGGCAGAGACGCAATTGAGAGATGATCATTAATGCGCTAGAAACTCATCCAAGGAGGAATTTACGCGCTAAAACGTGATTTTCCAAGCATAGCTTAAATGTAGCACAAGGCCGAAATTATTTGGAGGCACCCAGTGAGAATCAAACTCACTGCTCAGTCGTAATTAATCTAGAGAAACAAAATGGTTAACCATTAAACCACCTGAAGATGCCCTAAACAACAGCGAATTTGTCTTCACTGGCAAATGTTCAAAACGTTACTGATCGCTCGTATGCTTTATTTCTACAAAATAAAGCAACATTTTTGCGGGATTAATATACTCAGTTATTTGCTAGTGAATGAAGGACAAAAGGAATTGGAAGCTTTAACTTAGAAACGAAGGTATGAAGAGCTTCGCAAGAATCCTTTAAAAAACTATCATCAGAATTAATTACTTCCCAGCAGTTGTGGCAAAGAATATTAATCATTCATGTCCTTGAGCAGTCGTTAATGACAAACTGAAACGAGCAGGTAATATAATTCTGGTCGCAGGACATCACGGAGATATTCCAAATATCACCTGAGTGTTTTAACGTATTCCATAGTGGGATGCGTTAATATCATTGGGTTTTGGACGCTCTTCACAATTTGAAGTAAAGAAAATTAATGGGCTGCATTTTGATCCGTGACTTGCTGCTCAAACACAGAGAGCGGTTTCAAAAGGGCTGCATTCATTGATAATGAAATTAAAATAACGAAGTTAACAACAGCAAAGATAAGACACATAAGCGTTAAAGGAAATTTGAAAATACTTGGCTAACAGGATCACTACGGTGTTTGGTTAATTCAGGTTCAGATTGTATTCGACCACAGTTCCATCTGCGAGCCCTTTTCAAACCCAGAATAAAGAAAAGACAAGAATTGCAATAGAAAATGGATTGGTTACAACAATATGGTAAGAAAAAGGTCCTGAAAAAAAAAGAAAATAAGCCAAAATAAAACCACTGCAAAAGACATTCTGCACCCAAAGATGGTGATGCTATTGGAAGCTTTAGCTTAGAAGGGAAGGTATAAAGAGATTTGCAAGAGTCCTTTAAAAAAAACTATCATCAGAATTAATTACTTCCCAGCAGTTATGGCAAAGAATATTAATCATGAATGTCCTTGAACATAATCAGTTTGAATTTGAATTCGATCTGCTATTTTTGATTTCCTATGCAGATGTGCATAATTTGTAATCAATGTAAAACAAACACAAAATAATAAATACCCAAATTTTATTTTCTCCTACATATTGATGAAAAAGCTAAACCTGCTAAATTTATAAATATATATTTATTTAACGATTTACACAGTATCCTGAATTGTAAACTTGTTTTGTTCATCAAAAAAGACAAACATTGCAGTCGTGTGGTGAAAGATGTGCTTTTTATTTGACTGAAGAAAATTTAACGGCACGCACGCATGCGCCCAAAAGTACGAGTACGAAAAATTACCTGACTATACATTTATATATATATATCTTGAACCATGAATATTTATGTTGGTCTCACCACAAACTCGTTTTCACGGCGCTTGACTCTACATTTAAATGATAACTCTAACATTTTTAGGCATTTAAAACAACATGCCTGCCCGCGTACTCAATTTCGAAAAAATAATTAAACATGAAAAGAATAAACAAAAATTAAAAATTCTTGAAGCTTTATACATAAAACAGTTGAAACCTAACCTGAGCAAAATAAACAATGAAATCTCCACAAATATTCTTAAATGCCTATGATTGATAACAGACGCCATTGGTTTATACCAACGGCTTCCCATACTTAATACTTCGCGTTCTCACTCTCGCCTGGTTATGTGTGACGTCACGAGCTGCGCCGCGATTTTCGGTTCCGCGTCTCGTATATACGAGTTTGTCGTTACTTGGAAATTTTCATGCAGCAAGGGCGGACTATCATTGTTGTTCCATCCGTTGTTGTTTGATTTATTGAAAATGTCGTTTGATAATGGGTTATTTCAGCCGAAAGCTTAGACAGGATTAAAACATGTATCAATATGGTGATTTCCTTTCGTCCTTCAATGATAATGTTATTAAGCTTATCAGACAATTTGAAAGGAACTTACTTAAAATAAATAAACAAAAGCTGTCTATATTATTTAATGAAACATGCATATATATATATATATATATATATATATATATATATATATATATATATATATATATAAGCGTTTCACCACAAGCAAGGTGGGAAGCCACTAGCACGCAAAGGGTTACAGAGAGTTGGAGCTAGAGCAAATAGTAGTGATAGAGGAAAGGATGAAGAGAAGCATAGGGGATAGATCAAGGCATCAGGAGACGTCGATTGACATTACATTTGAATAGTTGGAAATTATAGCTAGTAGGGAAACGGGAAAATGGGAGGAAGTTCCACAGGCGAGAAGTGCAAGACATGAAGCTATTGGAGCAGAAGAGACGGCTACATTTAACAGTTTCGACAGTGAAAGGCTGAGAGCGAGATGCCAATCTAGTTGAACGCTTAAATTCATGAAGTCTGGGAGCCAACGAATGCAACTCCTCGGAACAGTTAGAGTGAGTGTATTTGTAAAAAAGACAGAGGGAGGTGACGGCACGACTGTGAGAGAGAGACTGCAGATGAGATGAATATAATAAAATATAATATTAGGAAAAATCAACCCGCAAAGCACTGCCCGGGTTTGAACCTTACGGTCTCTTTACAGCAAGAACTTGTGGATGGTTAATCTGTAACACTATCCATGCCCGCTTAAATAAATTAAAAAAGCTCGACAAATCAAATATATCAGAAGGGAAAAGAGAACGGGGAGACTTAGTAACAAAAAATTCATGGGAGTTCGCAGTAGCTCTGAATATATTTATTGATATGTCTAAAATTTCGACATTACCTCAGACCGTTGGCTTAACAGGTTGATCTTGTTTGGGTATGTCTTTATGGTCGGCTTTCGTTCCTTACAGAGCCGACAAACATTATCAATGCATCTGTAAGTCTTAACTGTCCTTAATGCACCCCATTTTATGCTGGGGCTGTAATTGTATTTCTTTTTAAAATAGTTTAATAGCTTATTGCATCTGCTGTGGTTCTCCCGTTTGAAGGAGGATTTATGGTTGTGCCATCTTTTCTTAAATCCGCCTTCAGTACACCTATGTATATTTTGTTCTGTCCAGCAGGATCTTGCACGCCCGCCTTATATACTACGCTCGTGACATAGCAGGTACCTTCCAAAAGGTGCTTGTTTTTGTTCTTGTAGTTACAGGCGATTTTATTAGTAGGTGTCTTGAATTTCCTCATGTTTCGCATTTTTATAATGCTGTTTTGGTTATTGGTACAGCAGTAGATTAGTTTTACAGTATTTGTATTAAAAATATTTTTGTAGGAAGAGGTTACCTGGGAATTGCTTATTTAACAGTTTGAAAAATATGTTACCGATATTTGTTTTCACCTACAGATTGAAAGTGGGGTTGCTTCTCATTTGTTGGTACGGTTGCAGGTTGAAGATCAAGTTGTTTTCGTGGCCTTCCTCTTTTTCTTGTTTGTTTTTAGATGAAGACTTCCTTGATAGTCTACACTCAATGCCCTTAGGGATATAATTAAAAATTGAGTTGAGCGGGGTTTAGTTTCAAGTATGGAGAGACGATACCCTCACTGAGGTCAAATGCAACATTCAGATATTAAACATTCTTTTTGTTCATTTCAGTTGTGATGCTGAATCTGAGGTCGTGGAAAAGCTTAAATAGTAATTTTCCGATTTTATCATTGGCCTTTCTATTGTTCGTTAAAATCATTAGTCCATCATCTCTATATAGGCAATGGCTGTTGACATGGTCAGTTTTGTTAATTTTACTTAATGCAAACAGCACCATGAGCTCAGAAACTTTTGCACTATCGTAAGATCCTTATGGAACCTCAGATCCATCCTTGCTTGCTTTTTTTTACCTGGACATCACCGTTGTGGATAGATTTGCGGCAATCCAAAATTATATTGCTATCATCAAGCGGTATGCTAACAAAACATTTTGCATATCCTAGTGCATTCAGAAGGCTTATCTCTGATATACTGAGATAAAATCTTTGATACCAGCTCTATAAATTCAGTTTTTCTGAATTGAATATTAAGCACTTTAAAAAATATCCAAGCATTGGTCTGACTTTAGCCTTGCCTACTATTTTTCTTTTTAGTAATATATATATACATATATTATTTGGTAAAATTATTTTAGTTTTCATAATGCTAATCTATAGGATCTGATGTAGAATCGACCTTAAGAATAAACCTCAAGAAATGAAAAAATACAAAAAAAAAACCCCCCAAAAAAAACGCGATGCCAAAGGTCTGAAATGATTTTTTTTTAAATTCTTCATGAAGCTTTTATTTTAGTTTCAAGTTTATAGATTTAATTTAATTTTCCCAAAAAGCAAAATTCTTTGCTGTATTAAAATTGACTGGAAAGTTTTTTTTTGTTTCTTGCAAAAACATTTGATTATCGGCATGTTTTAGTCGTTCTTCATCGCAATTCAACTCTCTTTATCAAAAAAATAATCTTCCAAAAATAGAATATAATTTTGGGAAACTTTATTTCAGGAATATTAGCTTATTTAAACTATAATTAATCTTATTTGGTACAACTATATATGAAATATTTAAAATGTCAACAAAGAATTCTTCAACCTGTCAGTATCTGTTAAAGACGTTTCTGGGTTTCAGATCTTGTTTACAGATTGATATTTATCTAATCTTTTCCTATGAGGCGTTAAAAATATGTGGATTAACTTGAGCGCTTTCTACAGATAATTTTTATATGCACAGTAATTTTTAAAATTGTGAGAATATTCTCTATAATCAAATGTTTTATGGAATTTTAAATATTTTTGGCTGTAAATTCTTTTAAAAAAATTAGTACAGGATGATTTGTGCTAAGCTTTTCATTTTATGATTAGTAAATAGATTCTTACTTAATAAAAATATCACTTAAACGGTATAGAGATTTAAGTTTCAAAAACCCGTACAGAATTTTAAAATCTTGTACAGAAATTTAAACGATCTAAAACTTTATAAATTATTCTAATTAAAATTAAGAATAATAGAACAATTCTTGTAAAAATTCATTATTCATCGATTTTTTGCTTAATACAATAGTGAACGTAATATGTATTATTCATAAAAATAAAAGGTTTTCTCATTAAATAATGTCTTAGTTTGAGTGCATTTTTATTTTACTATTCAGGTCAGATTTTCGGTAAAAGAGTAACTGTTTGAAAAAATGAATGATTTACATACTCCAAGGTGTCCTGCTTTTAAATAATATAAATATGAAGCGAGATAAAATTAATTTCTCGAAATTTCATTAGGGGGATAATAGATGTAAAAAATTTTCTAAGAAAAAAAAAAAGAAATTCTAAAATGCAATTCATTTGTGAATAAATCCTGAAAGTTTCATTAAAATCCGACAAAAATTTGATTTTTGAAATAATTTCTAAATCGATATTTATTTGTCATTTTATTTATTATTTTTATCAGAACTATAACAAAGAAAACGACGACTTACCTCATCAAACAAAGCGACATCGCGTCGCGTCTATCCTACGACGGAAAATGTGGCGAAAAAGAAAATTACTTACCAAAAAAAAAAAAAAGGCAAAAAAAAAAAAAAAGGGCACGTATTCCGCATGACATGCTGAAGACGGAATATGTAAATTAAAAACAAGTCCGTCGCAGGAGTCTCTGTAAATGTATTTTGCAAAAATTGGGCGTCCTCTCCCAGTTGTCGACGAATGGAAAAATACTCGGCCGATAAAAACAGTTTGTGTTCTGGAATCGAGAGAGAGGAATAAAATTGATGTATTTTGGCTACCGCGTTCGTCGGAGAGTGAGTTATTTTTCTGACTGGTTACGTGCATTGTGATTTGTGAGATAGTAACTTCGAATCGAGTTTTCGGTATTTCTTTCTGCCTCCGATATTCGAGTCTGAACTTACAGTGATTTGTTCTCTGCGTTGTAGAAGTAATCTGCGAGAAATATTTCCTTTGCTTTCAGAACGCTTACAAAAACAAAGGCGTTAAATCTCCTAATAATAATCTTCGGTCCACACACTGACGCCCCCCCCCAAAAAAACAAAACAAACTATTTTAACCGCAACGAACGTGTTAGAAATGATAAAGAATAATAATATAATTCTTTAGTAATTCTTCTTACTAACATAAACATTTTGACGATAAAACTTTGATTTCATTAAGTTTGGGGTCTTTTTTTATCATAGTGTGATATATTTTTAGCGTTAAAATGGAGATACTTACTAAGGTTTCATTTGCTTGAAGCCATTTTTAATTATTCATTTACGAAAACGGTAGTATATAGATGATAGATTAGACATTGCTGAACTAGATTAATCTCATATTTGACATTCATACGACTCTAGATCAAACGAAGGTTTTGTTTTTAAGTACATTACTAAAGTTTTTACGTTAATGTTTTGGTTTTGAGGTATTTGCGTTGTTGGACAAAACTAGGAAAACCGGAATGTATTCTGCATTCAGATTCCTTTTGATCCTATACTAAATTTGTTCTAATTGATCCTTGCATCAAGGTATTTTATGCGTGTCTATTTTAAACAAGAGTATCTAAAAACTTCTGTCTAGATTTTTGAGATGAGGTATTATGTACACTATTTGCATTATGCGAACTTTTCTCCCCATCTTTATTGCCATATTTATCACAACGTTTCGGCCTTTCATTATCTCTCTATATTTCTGAGATGAGGTATTATGTACACTATTTACATTATTCGGACTATTGTCCTCATCTTTGTCGCCATATTTATTACAACGTTTCGGCCGTTGTACGCTCCGGCCATCTTTAGGTGGTTGGAATGTCGAACTGAACCCTTTATTTCGCTCGCTGGCGTAGAATGTTCTAGTTCCATATGCCATGTCTAATGTATGTCAGTTATCGCCTGTTAATTCTCCTCTCCAAGTTCTCCATCGCCTTAACCAGGTATTGAACTCACTCTTTGGGTCCTGTCACTGGATGTAACTAACATGTCTCCTTGATGCTGAACACTATCATAGGTTTGTCAAGAAACTGTTTATCCATAGTTGAGCCTTACAATATCGAATTCAAAGGGGGCGGTAGATCCTTAAGAAGAGGCAGTTAGACTTTACCATTTGAGCATCATTGTCCTGAAGATTTCCCTAGCAAATTTTTTGAGCTGCAGAACTGGCAAATGGCATAATTAACGGAAGGGTCATAGTGGAAGGCTCGTCGTGACCATCGATGTCTTTGTGCCCGATAAATACTACGGCTGGTATCATTTCGGTGCGGGTTGTTATCTATTCTACTAAGGCAGTTTGTGGATCCTCCGCCGTACGTGCAGATTCAGTTGACACAGCCTCTTTTACCAGACGTTCTTCACGCTGTCTCTCATTCTCGCCAGCGCAAGCAGCAGCAGTCGAGGTGGTATCTTTCCTTTGTCGGCTTCTGCACCGTTCCTCATTTCCTCCAGCGTGAGCAGCAGCAGTCGAGGTGGCATCTTTCCTTTGTCGGCTTCTGCACCGTTCCTCATTTCCTCCAGCGTGAACAGCAGCAGTCGAGGTGGTATCTTTCCTTTGTCGGCTTCTGCACCGTTCCTCATTTCCTCCAGCGTGAGCAGCAGCAGTCGAGGTGGCATCTTTCCTTTGTCGGCTTCTGCACCGTTCCTCATTTCCTCCAGCGTGAACAGCAGCAGTCGAGGTGGTATCTTTCCTTTGTCGGCTTCTGCACCGTTCCTCATTTCCTCCAGCGTGAGCAGCAGCAGTCGAGGTGGTATCTTTCCTTTGTCGGCTTCTGCACCGTTCCTCATTTCCTCCAGCGTGAGCAGCAGCAGTCGAGGTGGTATCTTTCCTTTGTCGGCTTCTGCACCGTTCCTCATTTCCTCCAGCGTGAGCAGCAGCAGTCGAGGTGGTATCTTTCCTTTGTCGGCTTCTGCACCGTTCCTCATTTCCTCCAGCGTGAGCAGCAGCAGTCGAGGTGGTATCTTTCCTTTGTCGGCTTCTGCACCGTTCCTCATTTCCTCCAGCGTGAGCAGCAGCAGTCGAGGTGGTATCTTTCCTTTGTCGGCTTCTGCACCGTTCCTCATTTCCTCCAGCGTGAACAGCAGCAGTCGAGGTGGTATCTTTCCTTTGTCGGCTTCTGCACCATTCCTCATTTCCTCCAGCGTGAGCAGAGGCAGTCGAGGTGGTATCTTTCCTTTGTCGGCTTCTGCACCGTTCCTCATTTCCTCCAGCGTGAGCAGCAGCAGTCGAGGTGGTATCTTTCCTTTTTCGGCTTCTGCACCGTTCCTTTTCGGCTTCTCATTTCCTCCAGCGTGAGCAGCAGCAGTCGAGGTGGTATCTTTCCTTTGTCGGCTTCTGCACCGTTCCTCATTTCCTCCAGCGTGAGCAGCAGCAGTCGAGGTGGTATCTTTCCTTTTTCGGCTTCTGCACCGTTCCTCATTTCCTCCAGCGTGAGCAGCAGCAGTCGAGGTGGTATCTTTCCTTTGTCGGCTTCTGCACCGTTCCTCATTTCCTCCAGCGTGAACAGCAGCAGTCGAGGTGGTATCTTTCATTTGTCGGCTTCTGCACCGTTCCTCATTTCCTCCAGCGTGAGCAGCAGCAGTCGAGGTGGTATCTTTCCTTTTTCGGCTTCTGCACCGTTCCTCATTTCCTCCAGCGTGAGCAGCAGCAGTCGAGGTGGTATCTTTCCTTTGTCGGCTTCTGCACCGTTCCTCATTTCCTCCAGCGTGAACAGCAGCAGTCGAGGTGGTATCTTTCCCTTGTCGGCTTCTGCACCGTTCCTCATTTCCTCCAGCGTGAGCAGCAGCAGTCGAGGTGGTATCTTTCCTTTGTCGGCTTCTGCACCGTTCCTCATTCCTCCAGCGTGAGCAGCAGCAGTCGAGGTGGTATCTTTCCTTTGTCGGCTTCTGCACCGTTCCTCATTTCCTCCAGCGTGAACAGCAGCAGTCGAGGTGGTATCTTTCCTTTGTCGGCTTCTGCACCGTTCCTCATTTCCTCCAGCGTGAGCAGCAGCAGTCGAGGTGGTATCTTTCCTTTGTCGGCTTCTGCACCGTTCCTCATTTCCTCCAGCGTGAGCAGCAGCAGTCGAGGTGGTATCTTTCCTTTGTCGGCTTCTGCACCGTTCCTCATTTCCTCCAGCGTGAGCAGCAGCAGTCGAGGTGGTATCTTTCCTTTGTCGGCTTCTGCACCGTTCCTCATTTCCTCCAGCGTGAGCAGCAGCAGTCGAGGTGGTATCTTTCCTTTTCGGCTTCTGCACCGTTCCTCATTTCCTCCAGCGTGAGCAGCAGCAGTCGAGGTGGCATTGTCGTATCTTTCCTTTGTCGGCTTCTGCACCGTTCCTCATTTCCTCCAGCGTGAGCAGCAGCAGTCGAGGTGGTATCTTTCCTTTTTCGGCTTCTGCACCGTTCCTCATTTCCTCCAGCGTGAGCAGCAGCAGTCGAGGTGGTATCTTTCCTTTGTCGGCTTCTGCACCGTTCCTCATTTCCTCCAGCGTGAACAGCAGCAGTCGAGGTGGTATCTTTCCTTTGTCGGCTTCTGCACCGTTCTTCATTTCCTCCAGCGTGAGCAGCAGCAGTCGAGGTGGTATCTTTCCTTTGTCGGCTTCTGCACCGTTCCTCATTTCCTCCAGCGTGAGCAGCAGCAGTCGAGGTGGTATCTTTCCTTTTCGGCTTCTGCACCGTTCCTCATTTCCTCCAGCGTGAGCAGCAGCAGTCGAGGTGGTATCTTTCATTTGTCGGCTTCTGCACCGTTCCTCATTTCCTCCAGCGTGAGCAGCAGCAGTCGAGGTGGTATCTTTCCTTTGTCGGCTTCTGCACCGTTCCTCATTTCCTCCAGCGTGAACAGCAGCAGTCGAGGTGGTATCTTTCCTTGTCGGCTTCTGCACCGTTCCTCATTTCCTCCAGCGTGAGCAGCAGCAGTCGAGGTGGTATCTTTCCTTGGTCGGCTTCTGCACCGTTCCTCATTTCCTCCAGCGTGAGCAGCAGCAGTCGAGGTGGTATCTTTCCTTTTTCGGCTTCTGCACCGTTCCTCATTTCCTCCAGCGTGAGCAGCAGCAGTCGAGGTGGTATCTTTCCTTTGTCGGCTTCTGCACCGTTCCTCATTTCCTCCAGCGTGAACAGCAGCAGTCGAGGTGGTATCTTTCCTTTGTCGGCTTCTGCACCGTTCCTCATTTCCTCCAGCGTGAGCAGCAGCAGTCGAGGTGGTATCTTTCCTTTGTCGGCTTCTGCACCGTTCCTCATTTCCTCCAGCGTGAGCAGCAGCAGTCGAGGTGGTATCTTTCCTTTTCGGCTTCTGCACCGTTCCTCATTTCCTCCAGCGTGAGCAGCAGCAGTCGAGGTGGTATCTTTCATTTGTCGGCTTCTGCACCGTTCCTCATTTCCTCCAGCGTGAGCAGCAGCAGTCGAGGTGGTATCTTTCCTTTTCGGCTTCTGCACCGTTCCTCATTTCCTCCAGCGTGAACAGCAGCAGTCGAGGTGGTATCTTTCCTTTGTCGGCTTCTGCACCGTTCTTCATTTCCTCCAGCGTGAGCAGCAGCAGTCGAGGTGGTATCTTTCCTTTTTCGGCTTCTGCACCATTCCTCATTTCCTCCAGCGTGAGCAGCAGCAGTCGAGGTGGTATCTTTCCTTTGTCGGCTTCTGCACCGTTCCTCATTTCCTCCAGCGTGAGCAGCAGCAGTCGAGGTGGTATCTTTCCTTTGTCGGCTTCTGCACCGTTCCTCATTTCCTCCAGCGTGAGCAGCAGCAGTCGAGGTGGTATCTTTCATTTGTCGGCTTCTGCACCGTTCCTCATTTCCTCCAGCGTGAGCAGCAGCAGTCGAGGTGGTATCTTTCCTTTGTCGGCTTCTGCACCGTTCCTCATTTCCTCCAGCGTGAGCAGCAGCAGTCGAGGTGGTATCTTTCATTTGTCGGCTTCTGCACCGTTCCTCATTTCCTCCAGCGTGAGCAGCAGCAGTCGAGGTGGTATCTTTCCTTTGTCGGCTTCTGCACCGTTCCTCATTTCCTCCAGCGTGAGCAGCAGCAGTCGAGGTGGTATCTTTCCTTTGTCGGCTTCTGCACCGTTCCTCATTTCCTCCAGCGTGAACAGCAGCAGTCGAGGTGGTATCTTTCCTTTGTCGGCTTCTGCACCGTTCCTCATTTCCTCCAGCGTGAGCAGCAGCAGTCGAGGTGGTATCTTTCCTTTGTCGGCTTCTGCACCGTTCCTCATTCCTCCAGCGTGAGCAGCAGCAGTCGAGGTGGTATCTTTCCTTTTCGGCTTCTGCACCGTTCCTCATTTCCTCCAGCGTGAGCAGCAGCAGTCGAGGTGGTATCTTTCCTTTGTCGGCTTCTGCACCGTTCCTCATTTCCTCCAGCGTGAGCAGCAGCAGTCGAGGTGGTATCTTTCCTTTTTCGGCTTCTGCACCGTTCCTCATTTCCTCCAGCGTGAGCAGCACCAGTCGAGGTGGTATCTTTCCTTTGTCGGCTTCTGCACCGTTCCTCATTTCCTCCAGCGTGAACAGCAGCAGTCGAGGTGGTATCTTTCCTTTGTCGGCTTCTGCACCGTTCCTCATTTCCTCCAGCGTGAGCAGCAGCAGTCGAGGTGGTATCTTTCCTTTTCGGCTTCTGCACCGTTCCTCATTTCCTCCAGCGTGAGCAGCAGCAGTCGAGGTGGTATCTTTCCTTTGTCGGCTTCTGCACCGTTCCTCATTTCCTCCAGCGTGAACAGCAGCAGTCGAGGTGGTATCTTTCCTTTGTCGGCTTCTGCACCGTTCCTCATTTCCTCCAGCGTGAGCAGCAGCAGTCGAGGTGGTATCTTTCCTTTGTTGGCTTCTGCACCGTTCCTCATTTCCTCCAGCGTGAGCAGCAGCAGTCGAGGTGGTATCTTTCCTTTGTCGGCTTCTGCACCGTTCCTCATTTCCTCCAGCGTGAGCAGCAGCAGTCGAGGTGGTATCTTTCCTTTGTCGGCTTCTGCACCGTTCCTCATTTCCTCCAGCGTGAGCAGCAGCAGTCGAGGTGGTATCTTTCCTTTGTCGGCTTCTGCACCGTTCCTCATTCCTCCAGCGTGAGCAGCAGCAGTCGAGGTGGTATCTTTCCTTTGTCGGCTTCTGCACCGTTCCTCATTTCCTCCAGCGTGAGCAGCAGCAGTCGAGGTGGTATCTTTCCTTTGTCGGCTTCTGCACCGTTCCTCATTTCCTCCAGCGTGAGCAGCAGCAGTCGAGGTGGTATCTTTCCTTTTTCGGCTTCTGCACCGTTCCTCATTTCCTCCAGCGTGAGCAGCAGCAGTCGAGGTGGTATCTTTCCTTTGTCGGCTTCTGCACCGTTCCTCATTTCCTCCAGCGTGAGCAGCAGCAGTCGAGGTGGTATCTTTCCTTTTCGGCTTCTGCACCGTTCCTCATTTCCTCCAGCGTGAGCAGCAGCAGTCGAGGTGGTATCTTTCCTTTGTCGGCTTCTGCACCGTTCCTCATTTCCTCCAGCGTGAACAGAAGCAGTCGAGGTGGTATCTTTCCTTTTTTCGGCTTCTGCACCGTTCCTCATTTCCTCCAGCGTGAGCAGCAGCAGTCGAGGTGGTATCTTTCCTTTGTCGGCTTCTGCACCGTTCCTCATTTCCTCCAGCGTGAACAGCAGCAGTCGAGGTGGTATCTTTCCTTTGTCGGCTTCTGCACCGTTCCTCATTTCCTCCAGCGTGAGCAGCAGCAGTCGAGGTGGTATCTTTCCTTTGTCGGCTTCTGCACCGTTCCTCATTTCCTCCAGCGTGAGCAGCAGCAGTCGAGGTGGTATCTTTCCTTTTTCGGCTTCTGCACCGTTCCTCATTTCCTCCAGCGTGAGCAGCAGCAGTCGAGGTGGTATCTTTCATTTGTCGGCTTCTGCACCGTTCCTCATTTCCTCCAGCGTGAGCAGCAGCAGTCGAGGTGGTATCTTTCCTTTGTCGGCTTCTGCACCGTTCCTCATTTCCTCCAGCGTGAACAGCAGCAGTCGAGGTGGTATCTTTCCTTTGTCGGCTTCTGCACCGTTCCTCATTTCCTCCAGCGTGAGCAGCAGCAGTCGAGGTGGTATCTTTCCTTTGTCGGCTTCTGCACCGTTCCTCATTTCCTCCAGCGTGAGCAGCAGCAGTCGAGGTGGTATCTTTCCTTTTTCGGCTTCTGCACCGTTCCTCATTTCCTCCAGCGTGAGCAGCAGCAGTCGAGGTGGTATCTTTCCTTTGTCGGCTTCTGCACCGTTCCTCATTTCCACCAGCGTGAGCAGCAGCAGTCGAGGTGGTATCTTTCCTTTGTCGGCTTCTGCACCGTTCCTCATTTCCTCCAGCGTGAGCAGCAGCAGTCGAGGTGGTATCTTTCATTTGTCGGCTTCTGCACCGTTCCTCATTTCCTCCAGCGTGAGCAGCAGCAGTCGAGGTGGTATCTTTCCTTTGTCGGCTTCTGCACCGTTCCTCATTTCCTCCAGCGTGAGCAGCTGCAGTCGAGGTGGTATCTTTCATTTGTCGGCTTCTGCACCGTTCCTCATTTCCTCCAGCGTGAGCAGCAGCAGTCGACGTGGTATCTTTCCTTTCGGCTTCTGCACCGTTCCTCATTTCCTCCAGCGTGAGCAGCAGCAGTCGAGGTGGTATCTTTCCTTTGTCGGCTTCTGCACCGTTCCTCATTTCCTCCAGCGTGAGCAGCAGCAGTCGAGGTGGTATCTTTCATTTGTCGGCTTCTGCACCGTTCCTCATTTCTCCAGCGTGAGCAGCAGCAGTCGAGGTGGCATCTTTCATTTGTCGGCTTCTGCACCGTTCCTCATTTCCTCCAGCGTGAGCAGCAGCAGTCGAGGTGGCATCTTTCATTTGTCGGCTTCTGCACCGTTCCTCATTTCCTCCAGCGTGAGCAGCAGCAGTCGAGGTGGTATCTTTCCTTTGTCGGCTTCTGCACCGTTCCTCATTTCCTCCAGCGTGAGCAGCAGCAGTCGAGGTGGTATCTTTCCTTTTTCGGTTCCTCATTTCCTCCAGCGTGAGCACCGTTCCTCATTTCCTCCAGCGTGAGCAGCAGCAGTCGAGGTGGTATCTTTCCTTTTTCGGCTTCTGCACCGTTCCTCATTTCCTCCAGCGTGAGCAGCAGCAGTCGAGGTGGTATCTTTCATTTGTCGGCTTCTGCACCGTTCCTCATTTCCTCCAGCGTGAGCAGCAGCAGTCGAGGTGGTATCTTTCCTCTGTCAGCTTCTGCGCCGTTCCTCATTCCCTCCAGCGCCAGCTGCAGCAGTCGAGGTGGCATCTTTATTTGTCAGCTTCTGCGCCGTTCCTCATTCCCTCCAGCGTAAGCTGCAGCAGTCGAGGTGGCATCATTCCTCTGTCAGCTTCTGCGCCGTTCCTCATTCCCTCCAGCGTAAGCTGCAGCAGTCGAGGTGGCATCTTTCCTCTGTCAGCTTCTGCGCCGTTCCTCATTTCCTCCAGTGTAAGCTATAGCAGTCGTGGTGGCATCTTCCCTTGCGCCGATTTCTGCGCTGCTCTTTACACTCAGCAGCATTTTTCCTTAGGCTCTGTAGCTCTTCGGCTTCTGGCATTTGCATTTCGAGTAGCATTTTGTGACACTTCAGCAACGACATATTAACCCTACTTTTTGTCAGCTGAAGCAGCCTTTGTTGTACGACTAAGACGCGTTTTTTCTCAGGTGACATGGCGTCAGTATTGGAGTATGTTTAAATTGCGATTTTTTAAAAAAATGGCAAAAGTAAATATTTACTCCCCCCCCTCACTGAGTCAGATTGTGATTTTGACGTGGGGACACTAGTGTTTTCCGCTGGTCCAAGCTGGTCTTAGCTGGTTATAGCTTGTCTAAGCTGGTTGGAGCTGGTCTAAGCTAGTCATCGCCGGTCTTGTGTTGTCATAGCTGGTTCAGTCTGGTCAGAGCCGGTGCAAGCTAGTCGCAGAACCTAACAGTTGCTACCACTTCAAGTCAAGGTGGACCTGGGAACACCAGCAATTTAAATCAAATAAATCACAAATTTAAAGCGAATTGATACAAAATTAGCATTAGGAATGCTTGGAACTAATTTTGTATCAATTTGCTTCAAATTTTGCACGAACGGAAGTTGATGGCAAAGAAACGAGTTTTACGCAGTTATTCGCGGATATTTTGCGATTTACACGAATGACGTTAAATTGATCAAACAGTTGTTGTGAAATAAGTAATGGTCGTGTCAATTTTGGAGAAAATCACTTGAAAAATCGGGGAGTTATGGGGAAAAACTGTTTTTCTAAACAGTTTTTCGCCGTTGCTATTTATACAAAGCTTGGAGCATAAGCTATCAGTGATTCGTTGAAAATGTGGAAATCTAAAACGAACACACACACTGAGACATCCTCTGTTTTATATATATATATATATATATATATATATATATATATATATATATATATTGTGTATATTTATGCAGCAATTTTCATTAATGCATGATTCATTAAATAATATAGGCAAGTTTTGTCTATACATTTTAAGTAAGCTCCTTACATATTGTCTGATATGCTTAATAACATTATCATTAAAAGACGAAAGAAAAATTCTTGTTGAAAACAGAACTATACTTAAAAATGAAAACAATTAAACAAAACTAAAGATTCTTGAAGCTATATGCATAAAACAGTTGAAACCTAACCTGAACAAAATAAACTACGAAATCTCCACAAATATTCTTAAATGACTATAATTTATAACAGAAGGCATTGGTTTATACCAACGTCTTCCTATACTTAATACTTCGCGTTCTCACTCTCGCTTGGTCATGTGTGACGTCACGAGCTGCGACGCGTCTCGTATACACGAGTTTGTTGTTACCTTGAAATTTTTCATGCAGCAAGAGCGGACTATCATTATTGATTCGTCCGTGTTCTGTTTGATATACTGAAATTGTCATCTTTGATAATGACTTATGTAAGCCAAAGCTTAGATTGGATTTAAACATGTATCAATATGGTGATTTCCTTTCGTCTTTTAATGATAATGTGATTACGCTTATCAGACAATACGGAACTTAAAATAAATAGACAAAAGTTTTCTATATTATTTAATGAAACATGTATTAATACATATACATACATATATATATATATATATATATATATATATATATATATATATATATATATATATATATGTGTGTGGAGATATGTAAATGTATATGTATGTATTTGTATATGTATATGCATATGTACCGATGTATATCGATACATGTGTACATGAATATATGTGTATGTGTTTTCTACGTAAATATGTATGTGGTGTATGTATGAAAAACAGTGTTTTTTTTATATTACCTTCAAATTTTACTCCATCTTGATTTGAAACCTGACCTTTAATTAAGAAATAGTACCCATCTAAAAATAGCTACAAATTACATTCCTGAATTAGACTCTGATAAAGATTTTACCTTAACAGACATTCACAATATTAAAATATGTCTATTAGTAAATTTTTATTTTCTTATTATAGTAGTTTATTAATATAGTATTCGACTTGTATTAAATCCCTAATTTATTTGTGGAGAAGTTGAATATTTAAAAATGCTAACAGGCATTAAATTTATTTTCTTTGTGAATTTTTTAAAAATTTAAATTACTATAAAAAGTTAAAATCTGTTTTTATCTAAATTGCTCAAGCTATACTACCCCTTTTCTTCCTCTCAAAAAGTACATCTCTTATCTCTTTACTTCGCCATTTTTTTCTTATTCCCTTTTTTCTCCTCTTCCTTTTCCTCATATCATTTCCGATCAGCTGACCGATTAAATGTCTGATCCTTACCCGCTCTTTCCTCAATGTTAAGTATTATAATAAAAAGAAATATAAAAATAAGTTTTAAAACTCTCCCTTCCCTTTCTAAACTCGACCATGTCTCTCACGCCCCTCGCTTTCTTCTATATCAACATATAAGCTTAATACTACCAGTCAAAAGTGTAAATTTCATTTTTCGTTTCACCTTTTGAAAGTAAAGTCTGAAGATCCAGAAAAAAATAAAAATCTCTGGTGAAATAAATTATTACAATGGAGCCTTAAAGTGGTATGTTTTTCTTTAAATTATACATTCATACATACATACATACACACATACACACATACACACACACACACACACACACATATATATATATATATATATATATATATATATATAATCAAATTAGTGATTCTCAAATAAATTACCAAATAATTTTTATTCATTCCAGACCATGATGTGGTTTTCAGGCATTTCCCAAGATCTTGATATTATCAAGCATTCAGCTAGGAAATGAACAGACGGAGGATAGGCAATGGATTACTGACTGGATATCATTAATCGAGAATGTTCGAATGATTGAAAGACAGTTGGGTTGATGAAGAAAAGATATAAAAGAAAACCTTTAATAAAAAGTATTTTGAGTTTCCTTTTACATTTTCGCATGTTAAACTAACTTATGATTTTATAAAAAATGCAGACGTTAAAGAAACCTTTACAAGTAATACTGGACGTAATAAAAGAAGAAATCAGAAAATCAAGTGTTAGAGAAAAGCTGATACATGAAATGATGGCTAATGCTAACGCCTTAATAATTTTCATACGTGAGCTTGTAAATATTTAATAACATTTGTCTGGCATAGATTCAATGGAGAGTCATATTAAAAGAACAAAAAGTAAGGACTAATTAAGTAATTATATATAATATTAGCTTGCTGACCACCAAGTATTAACAGCTGATGGTTATTTGTAGAAATGAGTTCTAGGTTCCTTTCAAAATATTTAGATATGAGATATTTATTAAACTTTGTTTACAAGCGGCCATATTATTTGACTAGCAAATGAATCTTTGAGTCTAGATTGGAAACCGCCATCCTTGCAGTTGGTGCCTTTACTTCGGGAATTAGTTGGAGATTCATCTCCAGGTAAGCTGGTCGAACTCTCTGCATTCGGACGGAGAGGAACCTTGTCTGGAGTGGTAGACAGCTACCCGACCCCGTTTTTTTACGGGGTCTACGGGGAAATTTTGCCCGAGCCTACTGGCTCGGATACCCCAAGTTAAAACTCGGCCTTGTGGCACATCTGACCGCGTGGGGCGGTTGGCAAATATCCTTGCAATTGGTGTCATGTATCTTTGTGTAAACGGCTTCTCTGCATCTCTTATATGATAAATTATCATATTCAGCTAACAATTCAGTTACAGGAAAATTGCCATGACAGTTACTGTAACCAGTACGAAGGCAACGATTTCTACGACGAGACGCGTATCGCTCTCGTATAAACTTAAGAAAGTCAAGTTAATTTATCTTATTTATAATTTCTTGGATGTCTTACCGGAACCCAATTATCTTGGGAGGATGAATGGAAATGTGGGATAGTGAAGGGGTGTCTATTGACTTCCGAAATCTTTGTTTATTTACGATGTTTGTGTGTTGACGCCTTTCGATAGAAATTCAAATAAGGATACCAGGAACAATGGTTGCTACACGTACGTGGTTAATCAGTCTATTCCGCTGTAAGTGTAGCAGCAATACAACAATAGAATGGTCAGAAATCGTGCCAATATTGTCATGGGGGATGAATTATCTTACACCCAACAACCTCTTTCCCACTAGAGAAACGTTGTATGCCCCACGCTAATCTATCGCTATTTCCATGGACAAAGTTTTGACGAGTTGCGTTTCTTAGTTCCACCAATTCTAACCCTCACAACTAAGACCTGCACCGTCGCGTACACTAGAGCGAACCAGTCACATTTTCTTTGTTTCAAATTAGAGAGAAGTTCCACTCAAACAGCGTCCTCCGAACCGGTTCCTTCTGGAACCGACTCTAACAGAGATACCTTCCCGACAACTAAAATCTCAACCTGCTCTTTCCCACACATAATCATAAACTGCATCTTTTACGCAACAAACTGCTTCAATAAAAGACAGTCAAGTGGCTCTTCGGCCTTATATATAGCAGACATAGTAAATATTTAGATATTTTGTGAACTTTCTGATTCTTATGTGTCGCGACCCTTCAGAATGTTGGTGATCATGGCTCTCCACAATTTCCTGCCCTTATAGCTCGTATTAAATGTCATCTCTTCTATATCTTGTCCCGCCATGTATTTTCTCACGCTCGCTAAGTTGGTTATGCATTGTTTTCCTATCCCATTTACCTTCAAACTGCCCAGTGACTATCAGATTTTCGAAGCCCTTTTTTGCATTATGTGCTTTAGACATTTGGACTTTGTTTCTGGCGTTGTCAAAGTGTTCCTTTTGTTTCTATTTCCATTAAAACTTCGTTAACAGTCTGTATTTCTGAGATGTGGTATTATGTACACTATTTACATTATTCAGACTATTGTCTTCATCTTTGTCGCCATATTTATCACAACGTTTCGGACCTTCAGTATCTGTCTATATTTCTGAGATGATGTATTATGTACACTATTTACATTATTCGGACTATTGTCATCATCTTTGTCGCCATATTTATTACGACGTTTCGGCCCTTCAGTATCTGTCTATATTGCTGAGATTAGATATTATGTACACTATTTACATTAATCAGACTATAGTCCTCATCTTTGTTGCCATATTTATTTCAACGTTTCGACTGTTGTACGCTCCGGCCT